GTCTAAAAATGCCTTAGGGGACATAACATCAACACTGGGCAGATGTCGATCTAAAACTTAAAACAGGTTAGTTAACCATTGTATAACTATTGTAGTAATTTACCGATGTAATAATTAAATTTACCAAATTTATAGAAATGTAAAAATCCTGAAGAGGGGTGCAAATTACAAGAAAATATTGCACCCGAAATGCATAGAAAATAAATAAAGAATACGAATAAAAGCTTTGTCTCTGATTAAATGCGGTCCAGGCCAAAAAAACAGGGGTTATTTATGTACAATTAACCCATAAAGTTTTTTTTTCATCAATTTTGAGGAAATATTTTTGAAAAATTGATTTTTTAAAAGTAAAAAAATAAAGTTTGGTTATTTTTTGAACAGATCTCCTATCAAATTACTTAAGAACATATTTAATGTCATTATTACAGTTTTATATTCTTACTGACAGACTAGTACAGTTTAGATGCCTTCAATGTTTCTAAATCACAATGGACTTCCAGAAACTTCAATTAAGCTTATACTCTGTTTTAAAGTGAAACAGAATACCTTGTAACTCCAGCAGTAAATTTAATAAATCAGAATATTTTTGATCTAATGTCATAGGCCTTCCTCAGTGAAGTACACAAATTTAAAATAAAGTGAACAAACATAAGCATATCAAATGCAACAGAATTAATTTAAAAATTAAAAAGTTCCCCAAAGAGAGTGCTCGTATAGAAAATTAAACTTAACAAATTAATTAAACAAACAAATAATATGAAAGTGCTAAAAATATAATATAAAGGTGCTCTGTTTATTCAGTTTATTCCCAGGTTAGATTTTATTTATTAAAGTATACTTGTGTTTATATTTGATATCACTGACATTTGATCCTAGCTATAGTTAAGTGTAAATAAAATAAGCTAAAAATCACATAGAACAAAGGGATAATCATAACTGCAATATAGATAATACAAGTGAATGTACACTACACATAATGCCATCTGTGGCCATTTAATAAGCAAGTCTGACAATCATAAGAGTTTTAAGTGTCTTCTGTCTAAGTTAAAAGGATTTTCAGATCAGCATCAGATATGACAATCCTTTTAACTTGTGAAAATTGGCAGTGAACCTATATATACATGTATTGATATGATATAAATGAAATTTTTAAGCTTATTTAATTTGTTTAATCACAGATTTTCTATAAAATTATTTTCCAAAATATAGTAAAATTTAAATATTGATTTCAAATTATTTTAAAACTATAAATTTTATTTTACCTGATTAACCATCATATGTTGTTGAACTCTGCTTTTACCTTGAAATTCTTTACTTTCGATACTTATTTCAAACATGGAACCACATCCACCTATCAATTGTATATTTAAAATGAAAAGCTTTTATAAAACTTACTCTTATAGATTTAATATTAAACCATTTCAATTTTTATTAGATATATATAAATCATTATTTAAACTATTTTTGCCTTGTAGACATTAAGAGGGTGTTTTTCATATGTCCATCATGGGGTTGGTCAAATTTGCAATGTGGCAGCTTGATAGTAAGGCAAGCCTGGCATATCCAGACCAGCTCATTCATGCAAAAAATCTGATCTATATCCTACAAAATAGCATGCCTTAACTGATTTAGCAATTTAAATGTCAATAATAAATTAGTCTGTTTTTTTTACATAAAAGCTAATTTGGACTAGCTTTCTTTAAAAATCCATATATTTTCTATTTTATGATTGTCATCACTAATATTCTATCAAGTATACATTTAAAAATTGTGGGACTTAGTATAAATATCATATCTTGTTAAAAAAAGTTATTAACAAATTAAAATGTGTGCATCGTTGATCCATCTTTTAAAACACGTTCATGCTTCAGTTGCATGTGCCACAGGTTGTACACCTACTTTAATTAAACATTACATATTAAAGTGTTGGTGAAATAAAACACAAATTCTTCTTTTTCTCAAGAACTTCCTAATGTAGGATACATCATTTTTTCCATCAAGTCACTCAATTACAAAAATTTCTTTATAAATGTAGACTAGATTCTCAGAAAAATGATTACAAATTTAGTAAATTTGCAAAAATTTCATTTACAAGAAGTTTTGTTTCTGATATTAAAATTATTTTTAATATATTTAAATAAAATGCAATTTTTAACACTATATTCAAATTTATATAAAATATTTTGTATTGCAAATTCATTTTTATCATGATAATTTATCACGTATTTATACAGTGCCAGCCTGAGGCAAGTTTCAGGATGGAGCGAGATCCTATTATGGCGCCCAGGGGTGGAACCCCAACCACACACTCGACTCAAGCGCGTCTCAACAGATAAGACAATTCACATACTGGCCCACACTTACAATTAAAATATCGAAAAGTGAAAAAAATAGTTATTCCTTTAATTTTCTTTACCACTGGGGCACCCCTTAGGACTTAGCGCCTGGAGTGGCTGCTCCATTCATCCTATGGTAGGGCTGGCTCTGTATTTATACTATAATTTGAGTAGCCAAGACTAAAACTAATTAATTAAACAAACATTACATAGCCTAAGATGTGATTATCAGTAATTAAGCTTTTTAGTACAAAAATGACTTTCACATTAGAACTAAATTATCCAATCTCATTACACACTGATAAATATAAATAAAATAATCCTCAAACCTTTTAACCAGTGCACTTCTAAAAATAGAAGCACTCTGGTTAAAAGGTTTGAGGAGTATTTTAACTAAATTATCATTAGTTTCCATAGGATATATTTAAAAATTGTTGTTTCAATATCATGTACATAAATATTATGAATATCCTATATATTTAATATAAAGTGCTTAATATAAACCATTTGTTGAATATTAAAAAATGTAATCCATACTTTACATTAGAGCAATGGTTTCTGCATGTGCTACAAACAATATAAATTTCTAATATTGATTAAAAATACCGTATTTACTCGCATATAAGATGGCCTTGCATATAGGATGAGGTGTGACTTTAAAGATCAAAATTAAAAAAATTACATTTATTAATACAGTTCTAATTTTATTTTGTTTAATCACAAATTAAATTTTATCAAATGTACATAAATGCACATACTGTTCCGCAAAAATTACTGGCATTTTAAATTTTAAAGAAAAATTTGGTAAAATCGACAACATAATTTGTTCATGTAAAGTTGGACAATTCTTAACAGTCGAATCCACTATCCATCAATTACACTTATGAGTTTCTCCAAATTCTGATTTCCAAATAATCATTTGTTTTCACGTGGGAATGGATTAAAACTTTTATTGTGCTCCTGTGTGATTTCGGAATTTCAATTTGGAATTTAATTCAACAGCTTTGCTTTTCCTATTGCTTTACTCCTGACAATACGCAAGAATGATTCAAACAATCCAGATAAAATACTTATGTTTTTAAATACAAGAGGATTAGCATCCAGGAAAAAATGCAAATACACGGTTCACAAAAATTATTTGAAAAAATGCAAAGAATCTTTCGCCCACATTTATAGGACGACCTAGGAATTTGAAGCTGTGATAAATGAATAAAAACCTTGTCTTATATGCAAGTAAATAAGGTAAATCAAAATTCATTATGCTATATAGAGAAATATTTAGTGTAGAATCTAAAAGTTTTGCTTTGTTTTGTTTTTTTTTTAAAATATAAATAATTGTGTTCTGTACATAATGTCTAATCACATAGTCTTGTATAAGTGATTCAAATAAATTTCACTGCAAATATATTTAATCGAACAATTTTGAACTTTTAAAGACCCAAAAATGTTCATGATATGTATATTAAACATTATTCCAATAAAGTTGGTTTTTTATAACTATCAATTTATTTCAGCAAAATGTTTATACCAATATAATTATGTTATGTTTATTCTTTCATCATAATAACTAGGAATTAATAAAATTTAAATTTATCTGCTAAAAGTACAGTTTAAATTTTCTGCCATTGCAAATTTCAAGCACATCCATCACATTACATAAAATCTTTCCTATTTTAATTTTTGCATTTTTTATTGTAAATTTTTTCTCAATGTTGTATTATATTGTATTAAACATTAAAATTGTTTTTGATAAAAACTTTGTTGTTTTCATTTTATTCTGTGTGTAGATCATGAGCAAAATGTATTTCTTATAATTGTACGCAGTTAAGAGAAGTTTGAAAAAAATATTGATATAGACTTGAATTAGTCTCTATCAAAGCACTAAAATTTAATCTCACCTGAAATATCAGATACTTTTATAGTAGCAGCCTTGGGAAACTTATTATGAAGTAATTTTGTTAAAACCTGTTCTCCATTTGTAGAAAATGTTTTCTGTGATAACTTAAAAACCTAAATTAATATATAAAAATTAATCATATAGTATTTTAAGTTTAAAATGAGTTGTAAATGATTTTTAAAGTTAGATAACTTATAAATTATCATTAATTTAAATATTGTCTTAATTATGTTCTGAAATGATAAATTTTAGAAAATAAGCTTTAATGAATTAAAACTTTTACATGCAAAATTGTTTATATTGTGGTCATAAAACACTAAAGTTAATCTCCACAATATATATTTAATAAATACACATGTGAAAACTTTAATAAAAAAATTTTTAATTTGTAAAATAGTTTTTAAATACTTTTTAGAACTATATTAGTTTCAATAAATTTTCAATTATTCATTTCTTAATTTTTGTTTCAAAACTCACAAATTAACTTTTTGCCTGTTTTACATTGTTGATATAGATGTTAACATTGTTCATGTTATAAGTAGAGTGTCCCACAAGTCTAATAGGAGTTTTGTTGATGTTTATACATTCTTTTACAGATGATACATTATACTGAGTAAGAAGGAAGAAATTAAAGATATTTTGGTGACAAGGAGCCTCAGTCAGTGTGTAGTTGCCAAGACTTAAAAGGATACGTGTAGTTTTATATTTTCTTGCTGGATATTGGTTCTATGTGAAGTGCTTATTTACGTATACCCAATTTTTGAGTAGTTGAATGGATACATGTAGACCAGGGGTGTCCAACCTGCAGCCCGCAGGCGGCCCAATAAACATGTAAACAAAACTGACAAATTTTTTTTATTTATTTCAACGGCATAAACTCAAAAAAAAAAAAAAAAAAAGTGTTTCACAAAGCTGTAAACCTTTATACATATTTTATTTATGAGTGGAAAGGAAATATTTTCAAATACTTGGAAATGTGTGAATGAGGAAGACGTACTAAATAAAGCTGGAGTTGTGACTCAAAGGAGTATAGAGTCAAATACGGGGAAAGGAGAGAAAGGCCAAAAGATAAAAAGCAGTGAGAAAGGTTAAATAGGCCTTCTGTTATGCACATATTGGCCCTTAATTTTCCAACCTTCCTCACTTCTTTACCTTTCGTCCTTTCGGGTCTATAATCCCTTGAGTCCCAACTTCAGCTTTATTTAGTATTCCTTCCAACATTGCAAGATTTGGCTACTCTTTTATTAGTTTGGCGTAAAAAATATCATTTGGCGCATTGGCTACTTTTTTGGGCTATCTATTATTTATAAATATATTAGTTGAATAAAAATGCACTTTAAAATGGTGTTTTGTAATTTTTTTATTAATTAGAGACCCAAATAAAACAAATATTTGTGTTTGTCAAATAAATGTTTGTTTGTCTCCTTTATAATAAATGAATTTGTCTCTTTCTAAATAAAAATTGAAAGTGTCTGTAGAAGTAATTTTTTAAAATATCTTTTTTCGTAATAAAGTTTTAATAATTATTACTATAATCTTGACATGTTAATCCTTAAATATACTTGTAGTAAACTTTGTAAAATTATTAAAATTAAATATACTTCTATTTATAATAAAACTCCATGACTTCTTCCAATGTGGCCCAGAGAAACAAAAAGGTTGGACACCCCTGATGTAGACTGTTGTACACAATTGGTGGGAAGTCTGAATACAGCTTATTAAATTTTTTGGTAACTTCATGCTGATTGCAAGTCCAAACCATTAAAATAACTTGAATTTGTTCTTCCTTACTCAGAGCCATGCTTCACTTGTAAAATAATAAACAAACATCAACGTAACTTCTATGAAGCCAGATTTACGAAACACCCTATATAATAAACTATAATTTTACAAATAATTATTTATTGAGACATCAGAATGCCAAGCTGCAATTTTTAATCATATTTTTAATTTATTTAATTTAAAATATATGCTCTCCACCTCAAATAATTATCATCATCTTGCCCCTGCACATCATACTTTTCCTTTAACAACAGAGTCATACTGGATATCTATTAATTGCTTTCAGGGGAAAAGTTTTGAATTGAAATAACACGACTTCCAGTTTGCATCGGACATTTGTATATAGTTAATTAATCAGGATCTCCATCCCCTAAGGTTCCCACATCTGGTCTCAGATTTCATCTAACTAACTTGATTCTCAAGATTAAGAAGAGACATAAAGACAGACAACAGTGGGAATTTATAAGTCTACAATTTTTTCAAATTGCAACCCAATAAGTATAGCAAAATATGATAATGACCCAAAATGAAAAATTTATTATTTACCGTTAGTGCACTTTTATCGGAAATTTTAATTTATACTCAAATGACATCTCAAATTAAAATATTCCTTAATTTTTAATATTTTAAATAATTTTTAACTTTTACATAATAATTTAAACATTTATTACACTTACGACACTGCAATAAAAATACATTGTTATTAACCATTATATTCAAACAAATCTTTGAGAATTAATTTCACTTCTACTTGTCAAAAATATTTCAATTATTATAAAATCAATTCATAAATACATTAATAAATTGATTCAATACAAAATTCATACACAAACTTATAAAATCACCATTCTTCTCATAAGAATAAAACTGTACTTTCTGGGTTTATATTACATTTCAGCATCATTTACAATCCAACCGGAGACACATTTCAGAATTAGTGAAAACGGGACCTAAAACCGATCGAACTTTGGTTATTTTTTAAAATTTATTTATCGACCTATAAATTTTTGATATTTATTAACGTAACTGCCCTATTCAAAGATTTATTCTACGATCAAATATTCAAAACAAGCAAAATCGGGGTCGTCCGGTCACCTACTTACGGGTAAATGTTTAATACATGCACAGCATATCGAGTAGAAGTAACTTTTTGGTCGGCACTTCTCAAAGTGTGCGATATTGTCTCTCAGAGGTTCATTTGAATTATCCAAGGGGATATTAGGCACGATAGGAGGGTCCCATTGTACGCAGAACAGGAGGCGTTACTACTAACAGTCACAACCGAGGGAGGCCAGAAATCCAAAAAAGTTTGAGAAGCATTCATTGATATGTTTACTTACATATGGATAAAATTGCAGTTCTGAATGAGGGGTTTTGCTGAACTTCAATTTTACTCGTATGTAAATTTTGAATCCAAAATTCCAATAATTATTATCAAATAATTCCAAAATTCTTGCGCGACCTTTATCCCGCGAAAGGTAACGCGCAGACCATATGTTCCTTTGACGTTTCTACACCTACCAGGCATGATTTACAGCTCTGATAAGGTCCCACCCACTCATTCGGAGGTTCATTCGTACCTAAATACGTATAAAGGACCTAAAAGTACAGTTTTTAAAACACCTTTCTGTACTCCGAGTATTTCTCGACTTACCATCGCTTGTCTGAATTTACTTAAAAATCTAGCCATTTTGTTCGATTAATTATTTCGAGTCAAAGAAGTTTTATTCATACTTGGAAATAAAAATCATTCAAATTTTCCTTTAAAAAAAAAAAAAACTCGCTAGTCGCCCAACGAAGTCATTTTCATGTTCGGTAACCCACGTTTCGCCAAAGCAGACCAATTCCTTCGCGTCACGTGACCTTATCTAAAGAATTTCATTTGATAAAAATTTCAATATTTAATTTTATAAATAATAAATAAATAAATATTTAAAAATTATTTATGCGTATAAANTATTTATGTACAATTAACCCATAAAGTTTTTTTTTCATCAATTTTGAGGAAATATTTTTGAAAAATTGATTTTTTAAAAGTAAAAAAATAAAGTTTGGTTATTTTTTGAACAGATCTCCTATCAAATTACTTAAGAACATATTTAATGTCATTATTACAGTTTTATATTCTTACTGACAGACTAGTACAGTTTAGATGCCTTCAATGTTTCTAAATCACAATGGACTTCCAGAAACTTCAATTAAGCTTATACTCTGTTTTAAAGTGAAACAGAATACCTTGTAACTCCAGCAGTAAATTTAATAAATCAGAATATTTTTGATCTAATGTCATAGGCCTTCCTCAGTGAAGTACACAAATTTAAAATAAAGTGAACAAACATAAGCATATCAAATGCAACAGAATTAATTTAAAAATTAAAAAGTTCCCCAAAGAGAGTGCTCGTATAGAAAATTAAACTTAACAAATTAATTAAACAAACAAATAATATGAAAGTGCTAAAAATATAATATAAAGGTGCTCTGTTTATTCAGTTTATTCCCAGGTTAGATTTTATTTATTAAAGTATACTTGTGTTTATATTTGATATCACTGACATTTGATCCTAGCTATAGTTAAGTGTAAATAAAATAAGCTAAAAATCACATAGAACAAAGGGATAATCATAACTGCAATATAGATAATACAAGTGAATGTACACTACACATAATGCCATCTGTGGCCATTTAATAAGCAAGTCTGACAATCATAAGAGTTTTAAGTGTCTTCTGTCTAAGTTAAAAGGATTTTCAGATCAGCATCAGATATGACAATCCTTTTAACTTGTGAAAATTGGCAGTGAACCTATATATACATGTATTGATATGATATAAATGAAATTTTTAAGCTTATTTAATTTGTTTAATCACAGATTTTCTATAAAATTATTTTCCAAAATATAGTAAAATTTAAATATTGATTTCAAATTATTTTAAAACTATAAATTTTATTTTACCTGATTAACCATCATATGTTGTTGAACTCTGCTTTTACCTTGAAATTCTTTACTTTCGATACTTATTTCAAACATGGAACCACATCCACCTATCAATTGTATATTTAAAATGAAAAGCTTTTATAAAACTTATACTCTTATAGATTTAATATTAAACCATTTCAATTTTTATTAGATATATATAAATCATTATTTAAACTATTTTTGCCTTGTAGACATTAAGAGGGTGTTTTTCATATGTCCATCATGGGGTTGGTCAAATTTGCAATGTGGCAGCTTGATAGTAAGGCAAGCCTGGCATATCCAGACCAGCTCATTCATGCAAAAAATCTGATCTATATCCTACAAAATAGCATGCCTTAACTGATTTAGCAATTTAAATGTCAATAATAAATTAGTCTGTTTTTTTTACATAAAAGCTAATTTGGACTAGCTTTCTTTAAAAATCCATATATTTTCTATTTTATGATTGTCATCACTAATATTCTATCAAGTATACATTTAAAAATTGTGGGACTTAGTATAAATATCATATCTTGTTAAAAAAAGTTATTAACAAATTAAAATGTGTGCATCGTTGATCCATCTTTTAAAACACGTTCATGCTTCAGTTGCATGTGCCACAGGTTGTACACCTACTTTAATTAAACATTACATATTAAAGTGTTGGTGAAATAAAACACAAATTCTTCTTTTTCTCAAGAACTTCCTAATGTAGGATACATCATTTTTTCCATCAAGTCACTCAATTACAAAAATTTCTTTATAAATGTAGACTAGATTCTCAGAAAAATGATTACAAATTTAGTAAATTTGCAAAAATTTCATTTACAAGAAGTTTTGTTTCTGATATTAAAATTATTTTTAATATATTTAAATAAAATGCAATTTTTAACACTATATTCAAATTTATATAAAATATTTTGTATTGCAAATTCATTTTTATCATGATAATTTATCACGTATTTATACAGTGCCAGCCTGAGGCAAGTTTCAGGATGGAGCGAGATCCTATTATGGCGCCCAGGGGTGGAACCCCAACCACACACTCGACTCAAGCGCGTCTCAACAGATAAGACCATTCACATACTGGCCCACACTTACAATTAAAATATCGAAAAGTGAAAAAAATAGTTATTCCTTTAATTTTCTTTACCACTGGGGCACCCCTTAGGACTTAGCGCCTGGAGTGGCTGCTCCATTCATCCTATGGTAGGGCTGGCTCTGTATTTATACTATAATTTGAGTAGCCAAGACTAAAACTAATTAATTAAACAAACATTACATAGCCTAAGATGTGATTATCAGTAATTAAGCTTTTTAGTACAAAAATGACTTTCACATTAGAACTAAATTATCCAATCTCATTACACACTGATAAATATAAATAAAATAATCCTCAAACCTTTTAACCAGTGCACTTCTAAAAATAGAAGCACTCTGGTTAAAAGGTTTGAGGAGTATTTTAACTAAATTATCATTAGTTTCCATAGGATATATTTAAAAATTGTTGTTTCAATATCATGTACATAAATATTATGAATATCCTATATATTTAATATAAAGTGCTTAATATAAACCATTTGTTGAATATTAAAAAATGTAATCCATACTTTACATTAGAGCAATGGTTTCTGCATGTGCTACAAACAATATAAATTTCTAATATTGATTAAAAATACCGTATTTACTCGCATATAAGATGGCCTTGCATATAGGATGAGGTGTGACTTTAAAGATCAAAATTAAAAAAATTACATTTATTAATACAGTTCTAATTTTATTTTGTTTAATCACAAATTAAATTTTATCAAATGTACATAAATGCACATACTGTTCCGCAAAAATTACTGGCATTTTAAATTTTAAAGAAAAATTTGGTAAAATCGACAACATAATTTGTTCATGTAAAGTTGGACAATTCTTAACAGTCGAATCCACTATCCATCAATTACACTTATGAGTTTCTCCAAATTCTGATTTCCAAATAATCATTTGTTTTCACGTGGGAATGGATTAAAACTTTTATTGTGCTCCTGTGTGATTTCGGAATTTCAATTTGGAATTTAATTCAACAGCTTTGCTTTTCCTATTGCTTTACTCCTGACAATACGCAAGAATGATTCAAACAATCCAGATAAAATACTTATGTTTTTAAATACAAGAGGATTAGCATCCAGGAAAAAATGCAAATACACGGTTCACAAAAATTATTTGAAAAAATGCAAAGAATCTTTCGCCCACATTTATAGGACGACCTAGGAATTTGAAGCTGTGATAAATGAATAAAAACCTTGTCTTATATGCAAGTAAATAAGGTAAATCAAAATTCATTATGCTATATAGAGAAATATTTAGTGTAGAATCTAAAAGTTTTGCTTTGTTTTGTTTTTTTTTTAAAATATAAATAATTGTGTTCTGTACATAATGTCTAATCACATAGTCTTGTATAAGTGATTCAAATAAATTTCACTGCAAATATATTTAATCGAACAATTTTGAACTTTTAAAGACCCAAAAATGTTCATGACATGTATATTAAACATTATTCCAATAAAGTTGGTTTTTTATAACTATCAATTTATTTCAGCAAAATGTTTATACCAATATAATTATGTTATGTTTATTCTTTCATCATAATAACTAGGAATTAATAAAATTTAAATTTATCTGCTAAAAGTACAGTTTAAATTTTCTGCCATTGCAAATTTCAAGCACATCCATCACATTACATAAAATCTTTCCTATTTTAATTTTTGCATTTTTTATTGTAAATTTTTTCTCAATGTTGTATTATATTGTATTAAACATTAAAATTGTTTTTGATAAAAACTTTGTTGTTTTCATTTTATTCTGTGTGTAGATCATGAGCAAAATGTATTTCTTATAATTGTACGCAGTTAAGAGAAGTTTGAAAAAAATATTGATATAGACTTGAATTAGTCTCTATCAAAGCACTAAAATTTAATCTCACCTGAAATATCAGATACTTTTATAGTAGCAGCCTTGGGAAACTTATTATGAAGTAATTTTGTTAAAACCTGTTCTCCATTTGTAGAAAATGTTTTCTGTGATAACTTAAAAACCTAAATTAATATATAAAAATTAATCATATAGTATTTTAAGTTTAAAATGAGTTGTAAATGATTTTTAAAGTTAGATAACTTATAAATTATCATTAATTTAAATATTGTCTTAATTATGTTCTGAAATGATAAATTTTAGAAAATAAGCTTTAATGAATTAAAACTTTTACATGCAAAATTGTTTATATTGTGGTCATAAAACACTAAAGTTAATCTCCACAATATATATTTAATAAATACACATGTGAAAACTTTAATAAAAAAATTTTTAATTTGTAAAATAGTTTTTAAATACTTTTTAGAACTATATTAGTTTCAATAAATTTTCAATTATTCATTTCTTAATTTTTGTTTCAAAACTCACAAATTAACTTTTTGCCTTTTTTACATTGTTGATATAGATGTTAACATTGTTCATGTTATAAGTAGAGTGTCCCACAAGTCTAATAGGAGTTTTGTTGATGTTTATACATTCTTTTACAGATGATACATTATACTGAGTAAGAAGGAAGAAATTAAAGATATTTTGGTGACAAGGAGCCTCAGTCAGTGTGTAGTTGCCAAGACTTAAAAGGATACATGTAGTTTTATATTTTCTTGCTGGATATTGGTTCTATGTGAAGTGCTTATTTACGTATACCCAATTTTTGAGTAGTTGAATGGATACATGTAGACCAGGGGTGTCCAACCTGCAGCCCGCAGGCGGCCCAATAAACATGTAAACAAAACTGACAAATTTTTTTTATTTATTTCAACGGCATAAACTCAAAAAAAAAAAAAAAAAAATCACAAAAATACACATCAAAATCTGTATTT